GTTAGGTTCATACAAGGAAGTTAACCCCCGTCCCTAACTCATAAATCTCTCTACTGGAAATTCAAAGTCAAGTTGTTTTAATCGAGGAAGTTGAGTTAAATTTTAAACAATGGTTCAAATCCCCTTTCAACGTTTGCAGAGTTAAGTAAATCCATACAAATACTAAATAGTATATAAAAAAAGATTAAAGATAACTAGAATCCCTAATTCAAACAATTCAAGTGAGAATCCATTTTCAGCAGTAGGCCAATAAAAAATGCTACATACTTAACTCCAGCTAAAGAATCTAAACAGGCAAAAAAAAAGGGTAAGCTACTAATGCAATGCCCCAAAACCCGAACAATAAAAAAAAAGTAAAAATGTTACGTCAAAAGAAGTTGAACCACTTCCAAAAACAAGGAAAGAAAATCGAGAATCAAAGAGACTTACGCTTCGAGAAGAGTGTAGGAAACGATACCAAGAGGAAGAGGAAGTTTGGATGAGCCGTTTGAGAAAACGGTTCCTCATTTTCGCTTCCTTACCTGAAAATCACAGAAACCCAGACATTGTAAAGAAATAATGACTAAAATGCAGATACTCACAAGTAGGGTGTTCAAAACCGGGTATCCGATTTTTCGGGTACTCAAAATATCATGTATTTAAAATTTTTGGATATTAAAATATTGGCCCGTGTCCTGACCCATGATATCCGGATATCCATAAGTCGTACTCGTAAAATTTGGATATCCGTAACTTTGGGTCACGGTTACCCAACTCATAATTTTTTTTATTTTTCCCCTAAATTGTAATATATATATATATAATTCTAAAATTTAAAATTTAAAGTTCTATAATATATAATTCACACATAAAATTCAAAAATTTAAATTACATAATTGAAAAAAAATTAAATAATAAAATAAAAATATAATTAAATTTCAAGTGTTTCGAAGTTAAAATAAATATTTTAAAAATAATTTAGAATGTTAATATGAAATAATTTAATAAATTAAAAATTTAGAATGTTATGGTAGTAAAATTTAAGAAATGATGAATTTAGAATTTTAGAGTGAAATTTAAAAATTATAAATAAACATTTAATATAAAATAAATATATATATATATATATTATAATAAATTGGGTACCGGGTCAGCGGGTACCCGATTAAGTAACATTTTGTGACCCGGGCCCAACACGAAAAACCTAAAAATTTAGCGGGTCAGGTATCGAACCTGAAAATTGGATATTTTCAAAATAAATACCTAATATTTTTTAATCAGATCGACAGATAATCGGGTCAGGTCAACCGGGTAGGATATGTTTTAATACCCCTTCTCACAACCTAAGTGATGAACAATTGAAATACTCTTAAACTTTTTTAGGGTAAAATACATGTTTAGTACCTCAATTATCATTTGTGTTCCGTTTTGATCATCTAAATATTTTTTTAAAATCATATTTAACCTTTAATTTTAGTTTCATTTTGGTCACCTACCGTTAAAAATTAACAGTGATATTGACGTGTCATCATAAAGTAATTTCTTATCATCATTGGAAAAAAAGTATCACGTCAACAGTGCTGTTAATTTTTTAACATAGGTAATCAAAATGAAACAAAAATATAATGTCAAGTATGATTTAAAATAATTAATTGGATTATCAAAACAAAATGAAAGTGAAAATAGAGATACTAAACTTGTAGTTTACCCTTTTAAAATATCTTGAAGAAAACATAACTTCAATTTTGTGGATACCTTACGGATGTAGTAGGATTTCATGATGTAAATTCGATAATTGATAACTAAGGTAAACTCTTTCGATGAGTATATTATACTAAAGAGTTTGAATTTATAACTTTCGATTTAATTGGCTTAAAAATCTATTTATATGAGAAAAATCAATATAATTTATATTTTTATTATGTGACTCAGAAATTATTATTTGTGTGATTTAAAATCATGCATATATTTATAAGAAAATGAATAAACAGATTACATATGAGATTATAAAATACCAAAGAAAAGAAATAGAGTATTCGCTGGAGAACGTAAGAAGTATGAGAATTCTTATTAGTTTTTTTAACGTAAAAATTAAATTGGAAAGTGATTCTTAATTCTTTGAGGGTTTAGGGTTAAAGAATTTATTGGATATCATATTATGTGCACTTCAACGTTGAGCTTTATTCTTAGTGGTCTTATGGGTCTCAAAAATCGATTGGTTATATTAAGATGGACTTGATGAATTTATTAAATTTAAATACGAGATGATAGGGCTACCAAATATTCTTATTGATTTTATAATTTTGATATCGATGGTCTATCTATATCAAGATATATTTGATAAGATAGCATACGTAAGCATAAAGGTCTAACCACTTTCATGAAAGATGTTGGGTAATCTATTTAAAGTGTTTGCCAACAATCCAAGATATATTGACTAAATTATTTTTATCCATGGCTGAATTTGGTTTGATCTAAGATTAATCGCATTTTAACAAGTTCAAGATTTATTAAGAAAAAAAAATTCATGCATTTCTGTTACTTATATGATTCATTTTTATTGTCATTGCTAAATTTTCTATACAAGCGTTATTTCCAACATAAATGTATTTGTTTCTTTTTTATCTTTAACTATTACTTAGTAAACCATTTGTAGACATCCATTTTCATCCGGAGTTTGTTTAGAAAATAGTTTGAAAGACATAATATATACTTTTTAAAAATCAATTTTTGAAAATATATATATTATATAGTTTTGAAAACGGTATTCGAATATATATATATATATGAATATATATATATATTATAGTTTTGAAAACATTTTGAAAATATATATATAATATATAATTTTTGAAAATATATATATAATATATAGTTTTTGAAAACATATTTAATATATAGTTTTTGAAAACATTTTGAATATATATATAATATATAGTTTTTGAAAAATATATAATATATAGTTTTTTGAAAACATTTTTTAAATATATATAATATAATTTTGAAAACGTTTTAGAAAATATATAATATATATTTTTGAAATGTTTATATGATTTTAGAAACATATATAGTATTCTTTTTTATTTATTTTCGTTTTAATTTATTTATTTATTTTCTTCCAGGGTACAATACGTCCAAATGGGCAAGGAGCCAAATCAGATTCGGATCTAGAACCAGGTCTGACCCAGCCCAAAAGGAAACTAGGGTTTCCAATAATAGACACCAACGCGTAATCGATTGAGGGTCGTTAGATCTGGCCTTTTGATCTAACGGTCCAGATTACACCAGAGGTGCCCAATGGGCATTTCAACGGCGAGTGGAGACCCCGAGATTTCCGGCCAAGTAAATCGGGACTGACCCATCTCGTTTTGACTGGTCAAACGTGCAACAACCCCGAACAAATTGGGAACGCGGGTAAACAACCCCGAGGCTACCAGAAACGAACCCACTGAGAGGGTTATAAATACCTCGGTGAGGCCAAGCAACACACAGAACCAATGATCAGTAAACAACAGGCAACTGAAACACAAAAACAACGGGAAAGCAAAAAAATCGAACAACAACCAAGAGATCGAAGCTACACAGCAATATAATCAACCAAAAAAACACATTCGCAAGCAACAAAGAAGGAAAAATTAACACATGCGTCGGTGTTGGCTCGAAGAGAAAAACAGTCACCGGAAAAACGAAAGGTTTCACCGAAAAAAGGTAAAACCCGAGAGTTTTGCCTTTAGATCTACGTCGATTGGGGCTTTTTTGTGGTGATCGGACTTTGGTTTCGTATTCACGAGGTCGGGGGAACCTTTTGGGTGAGTTTGGTTTTTTCCGACCGTCTCTCGCTGCAGAGGCCGGCCATCGGGGCCGTTGAAGAGTTGAGAAGTTTTTTAGAGGTTTGCTTTTTTTTTGTTTGGTTAAAAATGATATATTTTTTTGTTTTTTTACTATTTATAGCTGAGGGATTAAAGTGCAAATACGATATTTTTAAATTATTTACGCAGTCTCTCTAAGTTTGAAGTGTAATTCGTTTTGGTTACATGTTACAATTTTTTTCAATTTATTCAATTTAATCCATGTTTACATTTTTTATATTTTGTAAATTGGTCCACTGACTTTTTAATTTTCTCTTGCAGCTCATTTTTTAGCATTAATTTGATCCATGAATTTTAATTTATTCAAATTTAGTCCTTTAAGTTTTTATTTCATTCTTTTTTTATTATTTAATTTAACATATCTTTTTTCATTTAAAAAATTAACATTTTTTTACTCTTTTTATTATTTATTTATTTCCTTTAATTTTTTTTTTATTTTTTTATTATTCTTTCTGTTAATATGATTTTATTTATTTATTTATTTTTAACCTTTTTTAAACCCTTTTTTCCTCTTTTTATTTAATATTTATTTATTTATTTTTATATTTCAATTTAACATTCTTTTTTAACTTTTTCGGTAGTAATTTCAATCGATCGAAAGTAATCAATTCGAATTGAATTTTTAAATTTTAATTTTCGCAATTAATACAACCGTCAAATTAAATGACACCGAAAGGACAGTTCAAGAGTGCTAAACATTCCTTGACTATAATCAACCCCCGTATCCGACATATTTCTGATAAAACGCAGATCAAGTAATATGGTGTCCGATCAATCTAAATATTGTTTTTAAATGATCGGTGGCAACTTTAACATTTTTTTCAAGTTGAAGCTCAATTCTGGACCCACACGAAAGACGGTCGCGACACCATTCATTAGCAACATGCTTTCATTCGTTAACTATATAAGGACTAGTTTGAACTACCCTATACAGTAGAAGGACATACAATACACTTGGGCCATTTCTCTTGCATTGTCCTCAAGTTCAAAATCAAGCAAAGTAAAACCAACACATAGCAAATAGGGAAAACATCCATATATAAATCAATAAACATACATTAACAATTTTCTCCTTTTTCCTTATTTCTTTAGGAAACATTAACAGATGAAGAAAGGGGGGAGGGGTAGTGATATTATAGATCAGTGGTTGAATTTTTCTTCCTCTCTTTGGATGGTATCAACTCTGCTATTTATTGAATGTCTTGAACAACCACACAACTACAACACTTATCAAACATACTCTAATCCGGAACACTCGGTATTAGCCATTCTCTTACTTTGAGTCACGGGAACCCGAGTTTCGTTACCTTTAGGCCATTTCGGTTTCGCCATCATCAGCTTAGAAGCCACAGTCTTCAGACCAGTCTTCGTGCAACAAACAATAAGTGTTATGAGCTCCCTGCGGAGTACAGGTTTGGAGCAGTTATTTCACACAAGAAGAAAAGCAATTAGTAGTAGAAAACATTACACGGTCGGCTAGTAACGGAACATAACGGATAAAAGATAACTGAGCATTTTCAACTTTCAAGGGACATGAAAGATACAATTCTAGGTATCAAACCTAAGATAGAACATCAAATGTGAAGGCTATAGTCTAAAGAGCTTAATTACCTGCTGGAAAATTTTCATAAATGATTCTTTTTTTTTAATAGAAGTTGGAGGTCTCATTAAAAACTCCCTTCGTATTTTTCCACATACTTAGAAGTATGTAGAAGAACATAGGAAGGAAGAAAAGAGTGCCTACATAAATGATTCTTATAACAATTGTTACAAACTTTGTAATCAGACCATTTGGTTAAAGAACAGACAATATGCATAATTTAAACATGGCCACGTGAATAAAAACTAAATATCGTAAACTAAAAACCTCAAAATTAAGGTTCCATCATCACTGGATTCTTAAAATGAGCTGCATACTCTCCATCATGGTGATTATTTAATATTTAAGCATACTATCTCCTACATAAAATCCCATAAAAATGTCATAACCATATCCTCTCAGGCCACAGTAAGTTCAACGAAAAACAAAGTTGAAAATCAACATAATGAATTCATCTGGACTCGCACATTCTTAATTCTTCACACAATATATCTGAAGGCTTACTGTACTGAATTTAAAGAAAAAACATTTATGGTATTCGAAAATTATATTTTCCCGATCGATAAAACACTACAATAGGGTATAATCCTATTTACCTTTCCAACCTGGAAAAGGCCTAAAACTTACAGGGCTAGTTCAAGGAGTATTAGCAATCTCCGGGTAAGAACTATAGAATGCAAAGAAGAGGGAGAATAGCTGTCTGGTTAGAAATTTGATCTAAGATAACACAATCTGTCCAGGAAATACTATATACTATACTGACTTAATCATATTTGTTACTCATAAAGGATACAATGACAACTGAAACTTTAATAACAGTATTGGTGTGTAAATAATCCACCATACTACATAAGCCATCTGTTAGTCTAGTTGAATCTGCACATGACCTAAGTTATTTAGAAAGTTGAGCATGGCCCTAGATATGGTCTGCTTGGTAATAATTTCTATTCTTTTCCTGTTTATGTCCTGCTCTTTAAATTGCTATATACTCCCCATAACTACGTTACTTGGAATCGGGCGTTATGGGTATGTGTCCGACATGGATAATTCAACAAAAACGGAGAGTTGAAGCAACACAGCCCCATAATAGTAGTTATAATGATCAATGAAAGTAGGGGTAAAAGTTAGTTCTCCACCAATTCTGTCCAGTTCTCTCTTTGGTAAACTCAGAAGTGGCCATAAAAAACTAGGAGTGTCTATTTTTATGGTAACATGTATGTTCAAAAGGTATGTTTTTGACTTACAATGGTGAGCAAGGAGAACGGCCGCCATTTATGTAATAAACGAACAAATATGAATCAAAATGCTGACCACGGATCAAGTAAAATCCATGCAACATCCGCATACACTTGAATGACATCTTCGTGTATAAATGAATGGCTGGATTATTATAAGAAATCACATGCAAGTAAACTGCGCGGCATACTGGGATGCTTGAAGCATATTTAATCACCTCACGGATCAGTGCTGTAGCTGTTGATCCAATTGCAAGCAAAGATACATTAAAAAAGTGAAAGGTGAAAGAGGAACCGTAGTAGAAGAAAAAATGATCCCACCTATACTGAGATTTCTGTATGCCTCTACAACTCCGAGTGTCAGAATATATACTAAATTTTGATCCACCCTTGATGAGTCATACCTGAGCAAATCTGCTATCTGCATGGTATGTGATATTTGAATTGAATTACTGGAACCACTCAAAACCTTCAGTATTGTAAAAAAGAAAAAAGTCAGGAAAATATTTGAGTCCCAGAAACAGAAGCTACATGTTGAATGTCGGTATTATTTTTCCACAACAAGCTTCAATAAGGAAACATATTCATTTTAAAAACCATGTAAAAAAGCTTTTACAGGCCAAACGGTTCTACTTATTCAAACATTTTAGACCCTGCTTAAATCATAATTCAACCATCAAGCAAATATAATTAATGCATTTTATACACATAGGCACATAGATGACACACCTCGCTATCCTTTACCATTATAATTCTTGCAGTAACAAATCCAATAAGCTCATCACTTTGATCATTGGGTCGACTGCGATCAACGGCTGCCCATGACACAACATCACATCCATTCACGACACTTTGGAAAAACTCTGACTCATACCTGAAGATATCAATACCCTTCCTTGAAGATGCTAGATCAAGAAATACTCTTTATTGAAAACCCTCAAAAGAAAAGTAATACACTTCTTACCTGATAGGAAATAAGTCACTGTGGATTTTTTCCAAAGTCTCTAAATCAGATGGCTGTATCGGCCTATAGCAGATGGTAGGACGATGTTTGATTCTCGGGTTCACCATCAAGGACTGTATCATTAATCCCCAGAAAAGAAGTGATAGATTTGGAGAAAAACAAATTCTCCTTCCATTTATGCAGCATCAGCCACAATCTCCATGCAGCAGCCAGCAAAAACTGATAGAAAATACCACACTTTAGCTCAATCTAAAGTAATATACATTTAATCAAAAAATAAAATAATTAAGTCATATACACACAAACGGCAAACGTGCAACAGGGAACCAAGGGTCCCTTCATTCTATAGCTATTACGCTCTTTTTAACAACATTAAGGAACTTCAAAGACCACTGTAACATTAAAAAGTTATGACCGGGCTGTCCAGTTGTTAGTTTGGTATTTGTTTTTAACTTTCCCAAACAATCATTTCAAGAATTAAAAAAATAATAAAAGGGAAATTTTCTTTTAAAATAACATCAATGGTTTTACTTCTTATCATCTGCACTTTCCTTATATAAACAATTTAATGAACAAAGAACATGTAGCAAAAACAACTACACCTAAAAAATAGTTTCCGAGCCCGAGTTCGAAGAGAGGCAAATGCTGTTGCAGATTCATTGGCAAAGTCCTGAACGGACGAGGACGCTGATATTTGCTTGATCCGTGAACCACCTTCATTTGTTTATGTCTAATATATGTGTGAAACTTTGGACTCGGATCATGTAATTCCGATAATTAGTGTTTAAGTAATAAAACCTTGCCCTTTTCTTTAAAAAAAAGAGTTTCAAAAACAGCCTCAGATTCACTTTCTTTCACCTATTTCTACTAAAAAAATAAAAAAGCATAGCAAGCTTAACATTAATATATCAGTAAATATTCCACCAGCAATCTGAATAATTGAATATCAACAAAGAAAGCTTAACATTTGAAAGAAACAAAACCCAGAATCCCAAATACACTAAAAACCAACAAAACCAAGTAACTAATGATAAGCAATAAAAAAACCCAAGTTGGAAATGAACCCAAATCAGTAAATTACATGAAAAAAAAGAGGACCAAAAGATCAAATACCTTAAATTCACTATAGCAAATTACAAACAAAAACCAATGAACAAAAGTATTGGAAATTTGTGGGGGGAAAAAAAGGGGAAATTAATTACCAGGAGAAACTCAGGTTAGGACAAGAAGGGGATCCTGGGAATTCAACGGGCTAAAGGAAGAACTTCTACTTGATGATCACCGAAAGAGACAATGGGAAACGGCAGAGGAACATAGGACGACTAGAGACCGGACACGCGGCTTTTGCGTTCTTGATTATTGTTCCTTTTTTCTGGAATTCTTATGATTGCTAGAACTGCTGTTCAAATTAAAAAATCGAAAGATGATAAACATGTGGAATAATCAAAGTAGATGGATCGATACTTAAATTAGATTCTTAAGCTAAACAAAACTCGATGCGGAAGATAAGACTATTTTTGGCATAAAAATATAAAGGGTAAAATAAATAGACATTTTTGTTTAAATTTTGTACATTTTCTAATTAGATCCAAATAATATAATATTTGATTATTTTTTATTTTTATTTAATTAATATATAATCATTTAAGATTAATTATCGTTAGATTTTTAAGCCTGGTTTCCTAATATATAAAAATAAAAAGGATAAACTACATAAATGGTGATGAATATTTGAATAATTTTTTGTTTTCTTCATTGAAGTTTCAAAAATAACAAATTAATCTAAACATTTTACAGTATATACCCAAGAATGATTGAAACCGATACGAAACCCCATCAACACAAAAGGAAACATTCGGAAGCATTTTCATTTATATAATTCAGTATATGAAAATTAATTAAAAGTCATACTTGCAGTGTGTCACACTCCTAATTTTCAAATTAAAATTTATTAAATAAATTAATTGATTTTAGTGATTAAATGGTGAGTTTCTTAAAATTTTGGGCTAATTTCATAAATATAAGAAGTTCAGTGGCTGAGGGGGCTTGAACCTGTAACCTTAGGGTTAAGGATGCCATGCCCTAACCACTATGCTAGGCTCATGTTTGTCTTTTAATTAATAAATATATATTTTATAATAATTTGGTTTGGGTTATAACCCAAAATCAAAGTAGTTACCCTCACCTAATCAGGTAACCCACAACAAAAACCCGTCCTTAAGTTTTTGACGATCTTCCCTACCCAACCGATGTCGCCTGACTGTCGTTCAGCGCTCCATCACCATCAGTAGACTCGCCATCGACCAATGACCTCAATCCAATCGTCGGCGACCCCAATTCGATCACCGTCGATCGTGAATTAGGAGAACCCGTCGAAACCCAAATCATCTCGGTTAATTGCAAAATCCAGCCCCCACGATCGTTCCTTCGCCTCACTGCCTGCACCACCGATCTCCCCTCATTCTTACGCTCAAAACCCGACTGGGTTAATCGTCCAAAGTTGTCCTGTTGTAGAACACCATTTTAGGGGTAAGTTTCGAATATTTTTCAGTTGATTTAAGATGTTTAGGGTTGATTGATTGGTTGTTATGGATTAATTTTGGTTCATTAAAGCTATCGGAGTACTCAGGCGATCGACCCAACCTCGTCACCGCCGTCACGTGCCGCTACATACCACGCATGTGCGTGGGGCTCGTTTTCTCTCCAGAAACCTTCTAGAACGGTCCAGGTGGACCGTACTGGTTTCAAATGGTCTGAGTCAAACGAACCGACTTGAGTCAACCTTAACTGGTTTGACTCGTTGACCTTTACTCGAACTGTTGACTTTGACTTAGCTGTTGAACTACCTATTGATCGTTGACATACCCGTTGACTTTGATTGTTGACCGTTGCCTTTGACCAAAAAGTCAAATTTTGAAAAGTCATATTTTATGTTTTTCGACGTCATGAGGTTGAATTTGATGTCTTTTTTGCCAAATTTGAACTCAGTAAGTTGCTTTTCGACATTTTATCTCTCAATTCTATACGATTTTTCACGTTTAAGTTATGTTTCTAATGTAATTTGTTTGGCCATGTATCCGAGTCATTATATGACGTGGAATTAAAGTTCGAGGACGATCAAATAGAGTTTAATTGATTAACTGATGTGGCTCAAAAATCGAGATAATACTTTATTACCATATGCATGTTTTATGGTACATGTTGGTGATTTGTTAATGTATGATTGAAGTTATTGGTCAATTACATATAGTTAATTGTTGATAGACTCGAATTGAATACAGTATAAAGACAGTAAACCTAATAAGACCCAATTGATTAGTGTAAGGAACTAGAAGATCGATAAGAGACAAATATAAGTTTAGTGATTTAATCAGTAAATAATTAAATCTCAAGACTCATAAGTTCTGACTAATCCCGTTAAAGGTTAAATGTCAGAAATACTTGGATAAGAAACTTCGAAAATACTTGTGTGATGTAAAAGACAATGATTATCCCTGAAAGTAAAAATAACCTTGTTAATCAATCATAACCTCTAAGATGGTAAAAGACTTAGAATTATGATTCTTGAATAAACTATTAAAGACTAATTTGACAGAAGTAATGTATATGTCAAAATTAAATTAAATGAATGAAATATCCTCGAAATGGGAAAATGACCTAGAATTTCTAAATCCTGAGCGAACACCCGGGGCTAAATTATCGAAAGTACTTTACAAGTTTGAATTACTCGAAATGACTATATTATATGACAAAGTTGAACTTAATGGAAGTATTGCACGTATCTGAATTTTTGAAACGATCGAATTACTCTAGAAACTCCGAAATGACCGGAATAAACTTGAATACTAAATGACCTAAGTGCCCTCAATGGCGTAGAATTAAGTGGATGACTTGGACAAGTCTGGAAACGCTGATAAACTTATATGTTTTACTGCCCATAAGGGTAATGAGCCACGAATAAAGCACGTCGACATTTCTTGATACCGTTATATAGAAATGAAATAATACCATTAGAATACTTGTTTGTCTCCCTAAGATCCATTCAACGATGATTCTAAAGCTGATCAATTTAACTAGAGCAATCAAAATTAAGAAGTGAGTAATTGTGAAATACCTCGATCTGAATGATTGGCAAGTATTGCAGTATTGGGATTGGTTAGTTTAATTTGACTCAAAATCCTGATAATTTGATATAAATCCTAAATACTTTAAATTGTTGTTTTACTCTCATTGGGTTAAATTACTAAGATTTCTTCAAGAAACCAAAATGTCTAAAATGTCTCTGATTTCTTGAATAATGGAATCACTCCTGTCATATCTGAAATCTCAAGTAACTCTGATGTAAAAGATTTTGAATACCTTCTTGATTACTTAGTTCCTCCGAAAAATATCTGAATACTATATGATCTTGATAAATCTCTTACTGAATGATTGATGAATCTGTTAGCTCTCAAACCTCCTTTTTATAGGGATCTCGTTTATGAAATTCAATCAGTTTGCAAAAGTTTTGTGTTTCCCCTACTTAATAATTGTTAAGTACCTCTGGAAAATAATTGGATCCTCTAGTGTGTTCCTTATGTGTCATATAGTTGTTTTACCTATTTTAAAATATGATTTTCCAAAATTACGGATTTACTGATGGATTGATTTACTGTTTATGAACTATGGCTACATGATATGTGTTCTCTGGTTACCTGTTTTCGCTGGAAAATATAATTCTTCCTAATTTATAGATCATGGAATCTATTGTTTACTGTATTAACCGATTATTGGGATACTGTTTGGGTAGGATTCAGGAGTATGGAGGTTCAGCTCTGATTAAGCTGGTACTTCCTTATGGACCTAAGGTATTCCTTGGATAGGCTCTAAGGCCCCAAGGCACTCCCTTAGTATGGGGACTGTATTTTGGTGTACGGATTGAGGGTGTTCATGTAATTTAAATAACTACATTGTCATTTTTACAACATTCTACTGGATCATGATTTTGATATTAAAGCTACTGCTCAATTTGATTTCTACTGGATATTATATGGGTAGGAGTCTAGAGTACAGAGGTTCATATCTGATCAAGCTGGTAAATCCTTAAGGACCTAAAGAGACCCTTGGGTAAGCCCATAGGCCCCAAAGTACTCCCTTAAGATGACTCATTTGCTATGTGCTTAGAGTAAGTCCTTATGGATGTAGTTCTGAAGAAACTACATATCAGTGTTCGATTAGAGGGTATTACTATGGTTTTAAAATATGTTTTAAACTACTAATGTTTTTAAAGGATATGTACACATTTCTTTATTTTGTTGGAACACACCAGACTCCCCGATTTAATCTTCTGAATACTTTCTTCATATCGTAAATTCATGTTTGTAACTGAAGATTTAGCTAATGGAATCTGAATACACCTCTAGAATCTGTTGATGATTGTCCCACTAAGAAATTTATGTTTTACCTTATACTCAATGGCCTATTGCATTCATCTAGTAGTTCTGTATTACTGAGCTTCCCAAAGCTCACTCTTTACTCACCATTTCAGCTTAGAAAATCGATCCAGTGTAGCTATCAACTTCACTTTTGGGAGTTCCTTCGGCTTTGCTTGTAGAGTACGGTATAATGTGTAATTAGGGGGCATGTAGGTCACATTTGATTTTTTTATATATATACTAAGTCTGAAACTTGTATGATTTTAATTTTGTTTTGTAATATATGAATGGTTTTCTGAACTTATATTTTATTTATAAATAGTTTTATGATTTTACACGTTTTAACAAAAAATTTAATTTTTCCTGGATTTTTATTATGGACACTCTGATGGCCCTAATGTGATACCTCGGATCGGATCAGGTCACCCGCATCGGTGTGAGGGTGTTACACAGTGAGTCCTTTTGTGGATGGGGTCCCTTATCCTTTTCAATCATTTTTAGATATATACTATAAAATAGTCTAACTAATTTGTTACTTTTGAAAATTCAGTGGAGAAAATAAGAATTTACTCAAGTCAAATATTAGTGACTATTTGTGTAATTTATCCTTGTACATTGTGAAGCCACGTTAAAAATCAAACAACGGTTAACCCTCGGTGACCAAATCTTAATTAAATAAAATCGAAAGTGATTTAGTAAGGAAAATTATATACAACTTAAACGATAAAATCAATAATGAAGTTTACCCAAATATAAAATAATTTATTATTTTTCTTCACCGCCTATTTTTTTTCTATAACAACACAGTTGGTCAATCAACTATAATTGTTTTTATTTTGATCATTGAAAACAAATATTTATTAAAAAATCACTAAATTTATGTTCACTTTTTATTTTACTCACCAAACATGAACTTCATTTTCATTTTAGTCACTTGTAATTAGTTTTTGTTAGTGAGACGACTCATCATCGATTTATTGAATAAAAAATAAAAAAAATTAACTGAAATTTGAACCAAATCACTAAAGATTATGCATATTGAAAAATTAGGATAACATTCTACATCA